GATAGGCATCTACATAGACTACAAACTAGGATTTAAAACACAAGGAATCTATTGATTTAAATATACCACAAGTATAAGATTAATGGTTTAATTATTTACTAACAACATATGAGTACATAAACCATTCCAAGACAATTGTGTAAGTTCATTATTCTACGGACAAGATATGTCAAGGATCATGTCAATGACTAATTCAATATTAAGTTACAAGTTCATTTCATACAAAACACAATCATGTGAATTAAATTCCATACAAAATAAATAAATAAATGTAAGTCTCAAAACTTATCCGATTATTCTCTATTTGATACACGTGAGGGAACTTGTCAAGGAAATCATGAATACCTAGTTAGAAACTTAATTAAGCTCATAGAACCATTGAATGGATTTTAATTAATTCATTTAATTAAAATCTCTAGATTTTGAAATTCATGCAAATGATCTTAAATTAATATATGTTATACAACATGTCAAGACTTGATTTAAAAGCATGATACAAGTGAATTTCATGCAAGATACGGCCATGAATATTAAACTTTAATACTAGAAAATAATTAAATAAAAGGTTTCAAAATCTAATCAAATGTTCTCGATTAAATATATGTGAAAGCATATGGCATACACATCAATAATATCAAGTCGGAAATCCAATGGAGTGAATAGTGTACATGGAATAAATTAATTAATATTACTAAATTTCAAAACATCTCCGATTACTCTCAAAATTACCTATATTGAATAGCATGCTAGAGCCTAATATAATATAACAACACATGTTAATTTCAAGCTAGTTAACGCCACATGAATTAATCTTTCATTCAAGAAAAATATTAAATAAAATTTTCAATACTTGTTTAAATGCTCTCAATTTAATATATGTCAATGATCATATCATGGCGTAATTTAATATCATGCCACATGAATAAACTAAGCTATAACTAATTGGAAGGATCAAATTTCATACAAGAAAAAAATAAATAATACAGTTCTTAAATTTGTATCAAAGCATGTAAATAAGTTACATAAACAGCTAAATTTTTAATAAGGGATAAGTATTGCAAGTTTTGTCCTTTTAATAAGAAAAGTAGAATTTTACTCAGCTTTACTCAGTTTGCTCTTTAATAAGGGAAGTCAATTTTTTTCAGCTTTTAATACTCACTCCTTACTTGCCATTTGATAAGGGAATTAAAATTTCCTAGCTTTATGAGCCCGTCTCTTCCAAGCTTTATGAGCCTGTCTCTTTAATACGGGAGGTAGTTTTTTCGAGCTTTGTGAGCTTGTCCTTTAATAAAAAGGGTAAACTTTCTTGGAACTTGTGCCTTCTACAAGGGAGTTTAATTTTTTTAAACTTTGTGAGCTCATCGCTTTAATAAGGGAGGTTAATTTTCTTGAGATTCATTAACTCATCCCTTTAATAAGAGAGGTTGATTTTTTTAACTTCTTGTGCTCACCCCATTCCCGAGTTTGTGATGGGACATCAACTATTAGAAAGAAAAGTTTCGCCATTAAGGATTTCAAAGATGGAGTCAAAGACCGAATCGTGCCCGAATCATGGCAAAACTAAATTCAAGAAAAATATATGCAATTTTATAATTAATATAGATATAGATAAATATAGATTAGAGTTGCAAACTTCCAACGATGATAAATCAACTCATTAATGAAAACTGGTAAACGTAATTTGAAAAATGTATAGAAATAAGAAAAGACAATTAAGGTCCTCATCGGTAAAGATTTACATCATTTTACCACATATGTGGCACAATATTGTTATGACATATCATCTGTAATTGTCAATTAAAAAATTGAAAAGAAAATGAAATAGGAGTCATGCGCGCTCACTCATCTTTGGATGAGATTATATTCCTAATATTTTTTATTGAACATAAGATTGTATGACAATGGTATGTCATGAGATTGTGTGACAATGGTACAGGACTAGTGAGCACCTATATATTGTACGGCAAAGAAAAAAAAAAAGGCTTAGACTTTTATAAATAATATATTGATATAAATATTGGTGGAGGTATATATATGTATGTATATTTTATGTTTTTTTTAGAATGACAAAAGGCTAATTAAATATTAAATGTATTATACGAAAAAGCAAGCAAGCAAAAAACCCACAACAAGAAACTATTAATGCAACGTCTGTTAATAAATATACCATTAATTTTTTTTTAACACCAATTCAAGATATAAATTCGAAATGAGTATTATAATAATGGTATATATATCTCAATTGATGTAGATGTCGACGTAGCAACGTGCTAACCATTTATCAACATTAATAATTAGTTTAAATTAATAACTAACTAACAAAAACATCATAACTAACGCAATCTATCATAATCATTTACCATTATTACTCTAAATTAATAAACTAAAGAACAAAAAAAACAACTAATAACCAAGGGACAACTAAAGCCAGCTATAAATGCCATCCCTCAGCTTCAATTCCAAAAAATATAATAATATTTTTAATCAAATTCCTCTTTTGTAACGATTTATTTTATTTAACTAAATTCAAATCTCATATAGATTGAATTTATCAAAAGCAAAATCTTATTCTACCACAATAAAAAAAAAACTTGAATTATGGACAAACCAAGGAATCTGGATGAAATTCAAATCTCAGTCTATTAACATTATAATTTTATTTTTGCACATTTTTAAAAAATATAAAATATTGTTGCATAAATTCATGATTCCCGTATCGATCGATACGCGACATATTGATCAGTTTCGCGATGTAACAAATTTGACGAATATCGGTTTAAACCAATCAAATCGATTTGTTTATAAAAATATGCAATGGTATCGAACCATTTTTTTTATTAGAGAGTTACGAACAAGTAAACAATTAATACGTTGCGTATTCATGAACCGGCAGATTTGATCGGTTTATACCGATATTCATCTGAGTTCTTTACAATCGCAACTAATACAGTAAGGGGTAATTTACACAGACCTCACCTATGGTTTGCCATAATTACAGGCGGCACCCTTAAAAAGGATGACATCACCTATTATTTTTCATGAAATGCCAAAAATACCCTCATCTTCTTCATTATGTGTCTGTACCTGTGTTTTGATTTCTGTGTGTTGTATTCTCATTCCTCATTATAAGCTTGTGTATGTGTGTGTATATATATATATATAAATTATGTATAACACCGCCGGAGGATGCCTGCCATTAGATTGAAACCAATGAAATCCACTGATGCTCTGTGCTTTCGAATTGGGTCTCTAAAATTGTTGCTCAATCTCACCGGATTGAAACGTGCCCAAACTGAAACTTGTGAAGCCCAAACTGAAACTGCAACAATTTTTCACTTGAGCCGGGCACAAATTTAATGATTCAATGCGGAAAATAGACGTGAAGTGTATATAAAAATTCCCCTTTCTCTCTCTATATATACTCTTGCTTTCTCTCTCTAGAATTAATCTTAGCGTTTTTTGTCATGTATTTAATCAGAACGAAACACCTGTTCGATCAGTACCAGAAGACTTTGGGGATCGATCTATGGAGCTCACACTATGAGGTTAATTTCTCTCTGTTTCTATCCAAGTGTTTATATATATATATATATATATATATATATATATATATTTGTGTGATTCAGTTCAGATGAATCAGCGGACTGATTGAAGACCCAATAGCAACCAGTGACGCACTATGTTTCAGTTTAGATGAACCATGATTCCGGTGATCTCCCATCTGTGCAAATATAGAGAAAGCTTCATCTTCGGTGTACTTCTGTCAGTGCAAACTCCGGCGAAGACTGAAGACATACCCATTTCGGTGACGGGGACACATCCGCGAGCTCCAAAACTACAACTACTAGCTCTGGTGACGGTGATTGAACCAGCGCACCTCTAGTTCAGAAGTATCTAGCTTTTCCGGTGATCTTCATTCTGCAGCAACAAGTCCGGCAAGCTGCAATCAAAGACCGAACAACCCTAGCATGTCTTAGTTAAGGCGAACGACAGTTCCGGATACAGAAATCCGGCAAGCTTTAACTTATTAGTCTATGTTCTTCGTGTTTTTATTTTATTTTTTGCTTCTTATATATATATATATACACACACACACACCCACACAATACTATTCATTTATCCCCCTTTCTGTGGTTCTCTTCTTCCTTCTTTTTTTTGTATGTACAGTTCACACACACACACACACACACAATAATGTCCTCAATCGCTGCTATGTTTCCAATGTATGTATATATCTGCAGAACTGCAAAGCTAACGTGACTTATCATTAACAAGTACTATCTTCTCATGATCATCCTTTGCCATTGTAGAAGCTAATAAACTTAAAGTTCACATAAAAGTAAGACTCCAATTATTGATGTGTGGAGGGTCCAATAACCTGCTGTCACTAAATTGTTAGGACTAGGACTGAAATTTACATGACTTAGACTTGTTATTTGTCTTTAAAATTTTGAAATAATGAAATACACCATTGATGAGATTTTAGGATTTTGTTTAACTTAATCTTGCTGAGATTTGAATTTTTTATGAATTTTTTAAGTTGCGTGTGAGGTTAGTTATGTGACTTTTTATTTATTTTTTTAATTAAAAGTTGATGGGTAGTTTAATAATTTTAGATGCCAAGAAGAGGGTATTTCAGTAATTTTGACAGCTCCGTTAGTATATTTAACTGTCCATCACAGATAAAGGAGGTCCGTGTAAGATATTTTAAAAAGTAAAAAAGGTCCGCGTAATTTCTGAAATACGAAAGGTGCCTGATAAACCATAAAGAAGGTCGGTGTAAATTACCCTACGTAAGAGTTCTCAAAGTTTGTTTTTTCTTTTATAATAAAAAAGCAAGTAGCAAAAATAAAAAAAAAATTAAATAAAAAAAAAGAACAATTAAATAAAAAAGAAAAAAGAAAAGGAAGCAAAAGCATGACCCACTCAAGTGGGTGTATGTTTTTTTCTTTTGATTTTTTCCCCCGAAAAAATATGTATATATATTTTTATGTTACATTGCGTACACACACTCACACTCAACAACACACAAAAGGCCAAAACAGTAACGAACCAAACCCTAGGAACTTCATATTGTCCAAATTCTGGATTGTTTCCAGATGAAATGGGAAATGGAGATCGACGAGATCGAAGCGGTTCTCGAGAAAATATGGGATTTGCATGACAAGCTCAGCGACGCGATTCACTCCATTTCCAGAACTCACTTTCTCAATTCCATCAAATCCCTCAGAAAATCCGATGATTTGTTCATCAATCGGAGCTCCGACAAGAAGAAGCCCCACGATTCCGACGACAATCATCAGAACGGCTTCGTTTTCGTCAAAGATTTTCGGCTTGATGTCGATGACTCGGCGATTCAAGAGGCGAAGAGTCTCAATGCCATCAGAGCTGCCCTTGAGAACCTCGAGGACCAACTCGAATTCCTCCATGTAAGTTGCTTTTATAGGGTTTACAAACACACACACACACGTGTGTGTATGTATGTATATATTGTTCGCTCCAATTTTGATGGTTTTGTTTTGGTGTTTGGTTGCTGAGAAAGTGTAGGAAAAGAAACGAAAGTGGGAATTTGAGTTGGCTGTTGTTGTTTCTGTTCTCTTTTTAGGGAAAAGAAAAGGCTTATTTCATTTCTTCAGTCAAATAATTAGGTGTTTTAGGCTCATTTGAATGGCGAACACGCAGGCTTTTGCTTCATTTTCACTTACATTTCCTCAGCAATGGAAGCTCTTAGGATTGTCGGAATGGTGTCTTTGGTTTCGTAAATTGAAATTTTGATTGCTTTATTCAATTTTGTACAGATGTGTGTTTGTTGAAATAGTTGAAGAGATTGGGAAAATCTTCTGTGCTTTTATAACCTAAAATTTTCTATACTATTTTCATATGTTGTTGTTCACCAAAGGAATGCTTTTTGAATAAATAAATGAACGAAACATTGTAATGAATGAATTTGTTAAAGACAAATAAGATGGATGTACCAGCTAGAAATGGCAGGTTCACCCTTGTACTGGTAATTTAGAGTCAAGCTTTGAAGCTTTTGATGGACCAGCAAGCTAGGTGAAGAAATCACTGGACGTAGATGAAGTGAAGAGGACTCATAAATAAGAATTGAATTGAGCTCTCCTCTCCCACAGCCCCACTCTCTCTCTCTCACCCATACAACACCTTTTCTTTTCCTTCTGTGTCAGATAGTCTGCTGCATGAGGAAGAGGATTGTTAAACTGAAAATTCATGATATAGAAGATGTCAAATGATTTAGGCACTCAGTAAATCAATGGGAGAAAGTTGGGATTCTTATGGGTTAGAAAATTGGTGTTGAATTTTAGTTGAGAATTGAAAGAGGTTCAACTATTTTGGTTAGAATATATTTTGTCTCAAGTTTGTTATAATCGAATTTTAGTCAGTTTAAGGTTGAGGCTCTACATTCAAGGGGAGTTATTATCTGCAGATACCACTATCAGTGTTAAATAAGAAGCAGAAACCCTGTGCTCTATTTTTACCTTTTCCTAACAAGAAGCAAATTTAATGTTAAAGTTCATGGTAACTGTTTATATGTAGAGTAACCTATGTGCTGTTTACTTTGTTTCTTTGATTATTTTCGTATATTCAGCCTTTATTTTTGGTATTGGCCATGTATGAACTAACTGGCATTCTGGCATTTCTATGAAAATAACTCGTTGCATTAGGTACACAATTAGTATAATTACAAAATGTAGGTGCTCGAAAGACTTATAAAATCAAAAAGTTTTAGAACAAGCAAGTGTTACTGAATATGTAAATAAAATTTAGTGACCTTAGGGACTGAAACTTATATTAGTATATATGGTAAATTACCCTCACACCCTCTGAGGTTTTCAATTTTCACCTTCAAATTAAAGTTTGGGCAAAATCACTCTGACACCCCTGTCAGAGTTAGAAAACTTAATAGCGTAGAGCATCAAATATAAATTTACCGAACTACCCTCAATTTAATAAAAGTAACATATTGGAATGACTAAATTACCCATTCATATAAGTTGATGGTTTGACCTACTTTTAACCGATAAGGTGATCATACAAGTCATCTATTTGGAAAATACATATATATGCACACACTTGACTTCAATATATGTTGCAGAGTACATGAAACAATGGATTTTCTCTCAATTTGAAGGAAATAGCAAAGAACAAAAGAGATGTTGGTTGTGTACTAGCCGGCACTGACGAAGAAGTTTAAGTTTATTTGATGTCGCAAGAGAAGAGGAGGGTGGGTCCAGATCTCATTTTCTATCTTTAATCTCTCTTTGGAACACTCTTTTTCTTTCTAGAACTATCTCTTCTCTATATGTAACTCCCCCTGTTATACCCTCAGCCTCTATATATCTCTTGAACTCTCTCTGATAACCATGGCTGCCATAAAACAAATTAACCATGGCATTTATCAGAAAAATACAAATTCACCAAGGTTATCATTAATCCACTAGTATACTAAAAGTCTAAATTCAAACCTCTATCAGAAACTCTCTGACAACCTTCATTATTTTCAGCGACGTCTGTGTTCCTAGCAATTTTTTCAAATATATAAATCCAGAATTATCAATCACTCAAAAATATAAAACCAGAATTATCAAAATCAAAGGTCTCTCTCTCTCTCTCTAATTATCTCTTCCTCAATTTTTTAATTTCTAAGTGTCTTTCTAAATTTAAATTAATGTTAATCTGGCTAGGGCCGGCTGGAGCCTTAGGCGGTCGCCTAAGGCCCCCAGCCATTAGAAGGCCTCCAAAAAATTTATTTCCTTACATTATTACCTCCCTAAAATTTTTATTTTGTGAGATTTAATAGTGGGCCAAAATAATTTAATTCAATCTAAAACTTTTCATTCCACAAGCCCCCAAAAAATTTTATTTTCTTATATTATTACTTCCCTAAATATTTATTTTCTTCTATTATTATACCTCAACCAATTGCAGTGTTTTAATAATGGACCAAAGAATTTACTTCATTCTAAAACTTTTCATTTCAGTTTCTATTAAAACTCCTAATTCCTATCTCATCTCACATTTTTTTTCCTCTCATCACACATTTTTTTCTCCTCTATTATTATACCAGCCATATTAATTATTGAACGGAGAATGATATAATTTACGACTTTTTTTCACCGACCCAGTAACCTACCGATGTGGAAAACGATCTCTCTCTCATGTCTGCTCCTTCTCTCTTACTCCATCCCCAATTTCTCAGTTCTATCATTCTCATCTCTTGCTTGTAGCAAACAAGAACAATCCAAACTGTAAAAAGAAAGCCTACAAGTTGTTGCAACAAATTAGAAGTTGATAACATTAACATACTAAAACACAAATCTGTGAAAAGGCCAGTTAAGATCAGAGTTCTGGTTCGTAACAAGCACAAGCAATAATGTCGACTCTGGTGAACAGAAAAAAGTCGATGCAGATAACCTCTTGTGTCCACATCACCAACGGATGCTTCCATTTGCTTTGATTTCTAACCCTAACCAAAATTTTCAATTCAGTAATGTAAATAGGGCATATTGTAACCGAAATCTTTGCAGAAAGCCTATCTTATGGCAACAGGAACGGATATAGACAATGATTCGTAACATAGATGGATAATAATGATGATTCAGAAACCCTAACCCTAATTTGATCCACGAATTGTTGAGGCAAAGTGAAAAGGAAAAAAATGGCTTTAAAGAATGATTCTTGCGCCTATTTTCTTGAAGCCATGAATTCTTCAAATACAAGAGAGAGAAGAAGTACGCTTCTTGTGGAGAACGAAGATGAACAGTTTTTTTTTTAATAAAAAAATTAAAATGCCCCTCAATTGAACAGCCACGTAGAGGCGTATTAAGTTGTTTTTTTTTTTTTTTTTTTTTTTTAATCGGGTCCTATACCACTACTCGTATTGAATATATATCCAATGATAATTGTGTAAATTGGTAAAACTTTTCATCTACACAAACTTTTCTCTATCTACCACTCATTACATACTCTCCATCTCCTTCCTCTCTCATTTTTCTCTCACATATTTTGGTATTCTTCAAAGATTTGAAGGTAGCATAACTTTATTGAAATAAAAGGATTGAAGAATTTGTTGGAGCATTAGACTTGGATTTTTCTAACATCAAATTCTATTGTTCTTGAACTTAAATTATTTTGTAGTCTTATTATTTTTTGTTATCATAAAATTGTATATTTTGTTTGTGACCATTTTTATTAACTATTACTACGTATTTGGTATTAATTATTACATATTAAAACGTCATTTTTATATTTTTCGCCTACAGCCTCAAATTATCTTGAGCCGCCCCTGATTATCCGGCAATCAGTTGTGATTAGGTCTTCAAATGGGTTGTATTTGATTTATAGAGAGAAAGTGAGAGATAAAGAAGGAAATGTAAGGGGAAAATGGCTCTTGCGTTGGTTTTTTTTGTCATAGATTGTGGTTTATGGTGGTGGGATGAGAGAGAGTTTGGAAGAAACGGTATTGCAGAGAAAGGAAAATACATGTTTGAGAGAAAGATACCTCAGGTTGGTTTAGAGAGAGAAATGGGCAGCTTGTGATTATTTTGTGTGAAAGAAGGTTGGAACGGGGTTGAGAGAAGAGGGAGAGGGGCGGGGCGGTGGTGGAGAGAGAGAAAGAGGCGGAGAGAGAGAGAGGGAGAGAGAGCTCCTGTAGTGTGTGCATGTATGTATGTATATATATATATATATGTACGTGTGTATATATGGTGTGATATGTCTTGTGAAGGGTGATTTCAGAATTGTAAAAAAAAAAGGTTTATAATGGCCCTAACAGACAGCTAACAGATTGGACCTACTTGTGCTTTTGACCAATTTCAAGGGAAGTTGACTACACTTTTAACTAAACTTTAATATGACTATGAGAGTGAAAACTAGAAACCTCAGGGTGTTTAAGGGTAATTTACCCTATAATATATATACATACATGCATATATATATATGTGTGTGTGTATATCAAAAAGTTGTAGAACAATTAAGTGTTATTGAATTGTAAAATATAATTTACTAATCTTAGTGACTGTCTGACTGAAGCATGGAGATGGTGAAGATTTATGACCATGAGACAATTTTGTTTTATTGTTCATAACTATGGAAAGTTCTGGTGTTTTACCCTTTTCTTTTTCTTGGTTTAGGGGGTGGAGGTTGGGTGTTAGATAAAAGAGGGCATAACCAGTCCAGTTTGAGCCAGTTGGACAAGGATAGGAGTTTTTGTGAGTATTACCTACTGACTGATAAACTTGTACCCTATTATATCCTTGAATTTAGAAACTCTTGGATGACCAGAAGACTATAATTTCTTTCTGGTAGTGTGTGCTTGTGCAGTGTGTTTGGCAGTGACCTTTTTTAGATGATTCTTGGCAAGGTGAGAAAGGATATTGCCAGAAAATGTATGGTTTTATGAGAAGAGGTAGGAGCAATTATGGACAAGGGGAAAGAAAGTTGGTTAAGATGGTTTGGGTAATTTTCACAATTTACCCCAAAAAAGTTGATTAGATAGGAACAGTGGAATGATGTCATTAAAGTTGAAGGTGACACCAAGACAAAGGGAAAGCCAAAGAAAATGTGGTTCTACACATTGATGAAATGTGATGGGACTATTGTGTTATAGAAGCAGTGGAGTGGATTGCTTAGAAGGGGGACAAATGAGTTCTTAGCCAAAACTTCAAGAAGCTGAATTAGGGGCTTTCTTGGGTTGGGTTTTCTGCCTCTATATCAATTGGTGCTATTTAAGAATTCTTTTTCATTTTTCCTTTTGGTGTTAATAGGGAGTGGCAGTTGCTAATCTGTGCTTTATATTAGAAATTCATTTTGAAATCTGTGTGTGTGAGTGTGTGTGTGGAGCTTTCCAGATATTATTGCAGTTATTTACTCTCCAATTGTGTTTGTCTTTGTGCATATATTGTAAATAAATGCATTTTGAGTAGTTTTGATGTTCTGTTCTACAGACTGTACAAATACAGCAACGAGCAGAAAGAGATGCTGCAATTGCGCGCTTGGAGCAAAGTCGTATTGTTCTTGCAATGAGATTGGCTGAACACGAAGGTCAAAACTACAAAGTTATCGAAGAAGCTGTAGCTTTTGTGGGGGATGTACATGATGGAGGTAGATTTGTTTCACCTGAGAACCTTTATGGTCCAGCAGCATGTCAATCTGGTGAGCATTTTGTATCCCATGAAGGGAAGAGGTCAAAGAATCTCGTGAAAGTTCTCACGTCTAGTTTTGATTTTGTCAAAAAATCATTGAAGCTAGATAATATGGGCGGGATATTGGGCAATGCTGCTTTGTTTGCGGTCAGCATGCTTGCATTTCTGCATATGCATCAGGTAGCTTGTAAGGACAGATGTATTCTAAACCTTCCACAGAAGCTTGAAGATAATATTTACAACAAAAATGTGAAAAATGTTTCTCGGGCAGAGGGTTCTTCATCCAGTGTTCATGTGTCCCACTTGGATGTCTTGTTGGCTAGGGGCTAGTTGGCTAGTTAAGGGAATTGATTTTTCTTTCCAGCAAATTTTCATGTTGTAGGCGTTTTAACCGTGTCTAGATTACGAGGGAGCCTGCTGATGAAGATTGAAAAATCTCCATTGTCTTGGAATCCCTGTGCCACGGTATGTCAGGTAGGTAGCACGATTTGTTTCTTTTAGTTGTTTAGAGATTTTGGTTTTTACCATGTTTGTCCTAGAGAAATTTGATTGTGTATATTCCAAAATTTTCTTGTTCCATGATATCAGATATCCGTTATATTTTGAATGCATGTGTCTACAATTCATTTTATTGGAGCATTCTTGGAAAAATGTTATAGCAAGTTATCGGCCTAATTTGCTTATATAACTTGTATATCCGGATAGTGTTCGTTTTTCAGATTGCTTGTTCATCTTCTGCAACTATATTACTACTTAAATAATTTGCTCATTGAATATTCCTCCACGGAAAAGTATATGAAGTCCTCTCCTCCTATCAGTTCTTTAGAGAGAGTGCTCTAGAGAATTGTGTGTTTGTTGAAATAGTTGCTATATTAATGTTTCTTCAGTGTAGCTGCTAACATTCACTTTCATGGATGTTATTTGTATTTAGAGAGCTCTGGCCTCGGTTCGTTTTTACTTTTTATTTTTCTTTTATATCTGGTGTCAGATTGTTGTTGTGCGTTTGTTCATGCTGTTACTTGTAATCAAGAAAAAGAATTCTTAAAGATGGAGGATCGAAGTTGATTTTAGCATATTGGTCCAGTGTAGAGGGAAGCACTTATATATATATATATGTGTGTGCAGTTACCATTTGAAGCTACTGTATTGTCTGTTTTTCCAGAAGGGAATTGCATTACAACCAGTGGATTGACTGATTGTGGTCTCGTGGCATACATGAATTTTGAACACGGGCATACCCGCACGGGGAGCTCGGCTTTCTACTACCAATTGACCACTGGGTAATGCTTGTGAAAGACGGCTTTCTACTACCAATTGACCACTGGGTAATGCTTGTGAAAGATGTTTTGTACGGTGCAGCATTTGTGTGCTTTTTGGTATCTATAAATATATTCACATAAAGAACATGCACTCTCTTTTGAAGTAAATTCAAAGGAAAATGACTCGTTTTGTCACTTAAAAGGATACCTAATGGTCTATTTTAAATTCCTTAGTTCAAGGCAAAGATTGTGAAACGTGATATTTTAGCTAAACTCCTACCATTCCAATACAATTATGTTGTGTTTGGTAGTACCGCAAAGTATTTCCATATATGTGTGTGTGTATATATATGTTTAAGTATTTCCGTAGATAGTTACATATTATGCCAGGAATATAAATTTGAGTTGTTATTTTAGATCATATTTTAGGAGAATTGTGACAGCTATGCCCAAATAATGGTTCGGGGGAAAGGTATTTGAAAAAGAATAAAGGAAAAATCTTTACTCTGGGAGACCCAACATAAACATAAATGTAATAATTGGAATGATTTTTAAAATGGATTAATTAGTACAGCTCAATGAAATAGGTTTCATAGAGTTAAAACCAAACATTATAATTTGGAATCTCTAACAGTAAACACTTTTCTTGTGTTTAAATCATAAATATTTAATTCTCAGCTTATGAAAACCTAGTTCTTACTTATTGGGGGTAAAAAAAAAAAAAAAACCGTAATTTTTACAATTTTTTTTTCCCTCTCCAAGTAAAACTCGGAAAACATCAGTAGACAAGAGAACTGTAGGTGTACCTATGAGATGAGGCTGTGATGATTTGGTCGGTGGTACGGCTTTGAAAATGTGCCCAAAGTTAGTGCCAGGATGGATGGATCCAAGTTGAAGTTAGCTAGCTCATTGTGGGATGTTCAGCTTTCTGTGTCCGTGTTCAAGATCCTCTCTTCTTAACCTGTCGGTGTATGAGAAAAATAAAAAATAAAATATTCATTATGGGCATCATCAGTACCCTAATTGGTAAGGCGCTTAACTATCTGAATAGATGTGTCCGTATTCGAGATCCCCTCTTTCTAATTTGCCGGCGTCATATGGAAGAAAAAAAACAGTTAGCTCATTGTGGCCCAAACTGGGATTCAATCACAACCACCCTAAACCTGAAATCTTGTTAATGTTGACTTTAAATTAGTAGTGCTTTTTACTCTCCAATGGTAGCAAAAACAATGGACCTGGTCTGGCCCTTTTTATCTGATGGGATGGGAATGGGCCTATCCGTGGGCCATACTGGGCCTCAAATCGAGCTGCATTGAACTAAGTGTTGAGATGCTTTGGTCAGTTCCCACACGTTTCATGGTTTGACCCAAACTTTTGTGTGGCGCGAAAAATAAACAGCTCATTCAAAAAGTCAACTTGTGCACATGTGTGCTTACAGCTTTGTTCATTTAGGACACGAGTACACCACTGCTTAGTTGCTAGATATAAAGGTTGTGTACAATATGCTACTCTCCATTCCAACAAAATTAATGGTCATCTTTTTTTCTTTTTCCTTTTTCTTTGATTGTCTCGAAATTCTTATTTTTTTAATAAAAAAATCCAAGTAAAATAAATTCATCTTTTTATAAATACCCTTTAAATTTTTAAAAATGTTCAACTTGATAATATATATTCATTTTCAGACTTAAAATAATAACTTGGTGATTTAAAAAGGTTTAAATTTTTAAAAATGTTCAACTTGATAATATATATTCATTTTCAGACTTAAAATAATAACTTGGTGATTTAAAAAGGGAATAATTCTCTAATTACATGTACTTCTAAAAAGTTCTAATACTTAAAATGGACTAAAAATATGAACGAAGGTAGTGTACATCTTCTTTTTCTTCTTTTCTTGTCGTACCACAAAGTTCATTTTTTTTTTTTCAACGTACATGGCTGCTCTAGTTGAGCTTTTTCTTAGATATCTTCAACTGGGAATCAAGGGTATTACTTCAAACATATCTAATAATAAATAAAGACTTGCTTTTCGTCACTCCTAAAATAATTTTTAAGAACTCAAGAAACATAATTGTTTTCAAATAACTATAAAGGACAGCTATTTGAAAATATACGATTTTATAAGTGAGTTTTCAAAAATGAATTTTTAGATTTAGGTACCTACCAAATTTTTTGTACAATTAACTGATTTTCAGATCTGAAAATAGAAAACTAAGGGGCCTTAAGTTTGTAAGTTATTTTTTAGACCTGAATTATCGTGGTTTAAACCACAATTTTCTTTTGAGTCACGAGCGAAAAATACCCATATGATATGCATATAGAGTGTATAAATATACTGAAAGTACAAAGAATTTTCCTCAATTGTAGAGCGAGAAACTTTACACTTCCAAAAATTTTCCAACCACTTTTCCCTCTCATTTCCGTCTATTTATAGACTGTTACAACCACTTAGAAGGTTATAACCACTCCTGAGCTGAACCTATCTTCTTCCCTTTTGTTTGGGCTCAACTTCTTTCATCATAATATGGGCTTCTGTAATGACTTCCTGGACCTGGGCCCATTCAGCGAGGACTTGCTCCATCCTAGTTACCCATACCCAACCTGTTTCTAGCAATATGAATCATACCAAGCCCGGATCATTTTTGGTGTCTTCATCTGCCCCCAATAATCTCTCCCCTAACCGTCAGACCAAGATTGTGCCTTTTCAATAATCTCACCCTAATTAATTAGGGTGAGATTATTGAAAAGGCACAATCTTGGTCTGACGACTCAGAACGATGACACAAGGAATCGAACGGCTGACACGAAGACCCAGACTTCGAGATCTGTTGCGCCACTTTTGCCTTAACTTTTCGACTTCTGTGTCGCCTCCATTTCTTCTCTTTAAAAACCCTGATCCTCTTAACCCTTGTCTTCCTTTAACATACCCTACTTTTATTCTCCGTTGTCGTCTTCCTGAGTCTTGTCTGTCATCTTCCTGCACTTTCTGGCGAGTTTTCTTCAGTTTCTTCGGCGAGTTTTTCCTTCGCGATTTGGCTATTGTGCTGTTGCTGAGTACTTCTCAAACTTCTTCCTTAAGGTCAGTTTTTTTTTTTTACTATCCTTTTTGAAAGAAAAACCTTCATTACTAGAGATTCCTCCCCTTCTCCATGGCTCCCTCAAATCTGAACGGCATTCGTTTCAAAAATAGCATTCCCAATGTCGTTTCTCTCAGGATCTACCCTACAAACTTAGATGGGATCTCTGATGAGGGTCTCCTTCCTGGGGAGATTTTATTCTCTGCCGTCCATTTAAACATCATTAGGTTCCCCTTACACCCATTCTTTTGCTACGTCTTCAGCAAATTGGGGCTTTGCCCTTTGCAAGTTAACCCGAACTTCCTTAGGGTAATTTCAGTCCTTCTGCTCTTGAACCATGACAGGGGTCTCAATCTTGATATCATTGACCTCCTCCTCTGCTACTGAATTAACAAAATCAAATAAAGAGATCTGTACTATCATTTCTTTCCTATTGACAAAAGGTCGATCTGCACGGATAAGAACTCCTTTGAAAAAGGTTGGAGACAAAACTTGATTGGGGTCAGTGGGAATTGGCGGACTCCATTTGGCCAATCTTTCTCTATCCCTTCCTCATTTGGAGTATGCTCTGTCTCCGGTTACAAAAAAACTGAAAACACATCCCACTTAATGCCACTGTAAAAGTTGTCTTCCCCATTTTTGTACTTTTCTTTGTAGATGCCTTCAAATTCCTCATTATGAACTGGTTTATAGCGTTTGTAGGGCCAGGCTAGACATCTTACAAGAAAGTGTGTTGAATAACGTCCCTTCGAGTACAAACTTGCTTACTCCTGACAACCTCTCTGACATCTTTTTCCTAGGGTCTACAATGGAGAACATTCAGATTCCATTTTTCAGCAAGAGGAGATATTCTGATCCTATCCCTTCTTCTACTCTTGTTACCGTATCTTCCTCTACACCTGCTACCACATCATCCACCTCTGCTATCTCAGCCCCAAAACAGGTTGTAACTGCTCCAGTTACTACTCAAGTCACAGATCATTCTGCTGGTGGGCCTTCTGAACCCATCCATGCTGAAAACTGTGCTATGGATCATTCCGCTGAGGCCCATCCTGCTGCTCCCACCAATGTGCCTTCAAACATTCTGTTTGACACTTCTTCATAGAGCACTCAAGATACTGGGGGGTCTCAGAACAATGGAGGGCCAGTTAGAGCTGGTATGTCAGAGAAAAGTTTGGGAAAGAGGCCAATGCTTGAGGGCGGTCATGACCAGAGTGACGTCCCACCAGCCCGGAGGACCAGGATGGCTTCTTTCAGGATAACTGACCCCATGCCCCCAGCTCAGATTTTCATTC